AATTGTAATAAAATTTCAATGATTAGACTAAAAAAATTAAAGTACTGATATTTAGATTTAAATTCAAATAACATTTTTGGTTTTCTATTTGCATTTACATATAAGCCTTTTAACAAAACTGATTTCAACTAAAGCTCATCAAGCGATAAATTGGCAATTATAGTATTTCAACATTTTCCATACTCCCGAAATCATCTTTACCAGTGTTCCCCATCCTCTAAACCGCTGAGTTAAGTAGATATTTTGTGGTTGCTTGGGCGGCTACAAAATATCGGCATGTCGTGTATCAAATCAAGGTATAGGGTTTGATACGCGTATCGATTCATGGATATGGGTATCAGAAGTATTTATATTCTTAAGAATAAGTCCAATACTTTTATTAAATTACGGATATGGACCTAATACATACAATGGTACATGACGTGTATCATGAATATCGGTATCGAATACGTATCAAATACGTGGATGCGGCATCGAGGTGAAGTATCGATAGATCATAGATGTAAGCTAGTATAAAAATTCACTAATTGAGTGCAGTGGAGGATTTGGAGGGCATAGGTACGTGCCCTCGAAATTTAGTATTATTATTTATTATGAAACTCGTGCCTCTACTCATACAAAAAAATAACACCATCAAAGAACATATGATATTGTAATGAGAAATGTATTTGATCATAGAATTGTGACGAATTGAAGCAATTCCTTGCACATAGACATGTTATTGCCAATGTTACTACACTTTCTTTGAAAAGTGTTATTGATAATTTTTTTTAGACAATTCTTTCTAACCTATATATATATAGAGCTCGTTTGGTAGCACCAAAATCGGCTGTTTTGGCTGATTCTGCTGAAATTTATGATATTCTGGCTGGAGTGGCTGTTTTGGCTGATTCTGCTGATTTAAGAAAAAAATATTTTAAAAAAATATTTTATTAATAAATTAAAGAAAAATTATATGTAAAAATAGCTAAAATGGTCCTCTACAGTAACTTCAGCCAATACAGCCAGAAAAGTAACTCCAACCTTACCTTTTCGGCTTATTACACAATTCAGCGCGCGAAAGTAAAAGTTACGTGTTTGGTGAAAAAGCTGGCTGATAAGCCTGATAAGCCGAAAACAGAGTTCTCCAAACGGGCTCATAGTATCTGCTCAATGTTAATGCCAACATCCCTGAACTGGGATGAGATTCGAACATGTGACCTTCTCTTTGCGAGTGCTACAGTGATGCCATTAGACCACAATGTACTTGGTGATAATTTTTTTTAAGTATGAGTTTTTTGCCCAAAGTTAGAGGTCAAATATATGACATAATATAACTTCTAATATGCGAGATAACCTTATGTATTAAAGACACTTATCTTGAGTACAAATTCATACATACGCGAGATGCATTCATTGTTTTTCTTACTAATAACAATTAGTTTTGTCAAATATTTTGCACGGATTAACATATCATTGTCAAGTTTGAGTAAAAATAATGTGCAAAAACGTTTTGGCATGAAAAGGTTATCATCTTGACGAATAGCTCTTTCCTGTTGAAATCGAAGAGTTTCATTTTTATTATTTTCAAATTGTTTTTGACAAAAAAATAAGTAATAAATTCGTGATAAATTAGGGTCTTTTGAATTGGACTGTAATTTTCTAATCTAATCTGGTCTGATCTGAACTAGTCTGATCCGGTACGATAGATATCTTTCTATATTATGTATATACTTTACAATTGTCATGGATGCGATTTGCTTGGGTTAACGTGATTCAATCCATTAGGACCATAGACATGGCCAATGATGATTTTTGTGATGGATTTTGTCGTGTCATTGCGATCAAGTGACTAGGGTTGCGAGGTGGCTCCCATTAGTTATTAGCTTATTACTCCTTCCATTCCAAAATGAATCTGTATTTTCTTTTTGGGATGTCCCAAAATGATTGCAATGTTTCCCTTTTTGGTAAAGAATTAAAAGTGGATTATCATTTACACTTCTCCTTTTTAATGAACAATAAAAATAAAAGGATAAACAATACAATAAATTAAGATTCTTTAGTTTTTCTATCACATTTTCTTAATTTTGGTGTCCAAAAAAAACAAGACTATCAAATTGGGACGAAGGGAATAGTTAGTAGCGTAGTCACTAACCAGTTAAGCAATTGTATAGCCACTATCCTATTTAAGTTAGTCATTTCACAATCACCACATGCGGCATTATGAGGCCGGGTGTCATTAATTAAAATAATTCTTAATTATAATAAATGTAAAATTAAAAGAGGTTCAAAAAAATATTAGAAAAAGCTCATTTACCAAAGAATGACAAAGAAATAAATTATTTAAATTTAAAAATTGAACCAGGGCCGGTCCTGATATAGGGGCAGGATGGGCGACTGCCCAGGGCCCACCCGAAAGAGGGGCCCGCAAATCATTTAGTAGTAGTATGCATATTGAGTTATGTTCACCTAAGACGCGCTTGATCGGGAATTATGTACGGTTAAACCCATTTGAGGTGCTTTGAAATGAAACTGTTTCATGAAAGTTTGTTAGCATGTTTTTCATTAAGTGTAGATTATGTCCACATAATTTGAGCTTAAAATTCCATCAGGAAGTCCGTTAAATAAAATATTGAAAAACAGTGCTCTTTATATTTGTTTAAAAAGCGCAATGTTTTTTTTGTAATTTATTTACCTAACTTCCCAATTGAATTCAAAACTGAAATTTTGTGCAAATAATCTAATCTTTATGAAGAACATGCTAACAAAATTTTATCAAAAAAATCGACCAGATCATTTTGTCAGGCGCTTCTGACCAGATCATTTTCTTATACTCTAACACTTCGTCAAAGATACCCCTCAACCCTCATATCCATAGAGTGAGCCACAACAACACAGCTACGCATGAGATACAATTGAATGACTTTCAACTTTCCTCACAGAAGCCGAAAATTAAAGATGATATTATCATCGACAATTTTCCTTTAAGAATGCCTAAAAATTTGTTTTTGTATGACTTATGATACCAAGTAGTTTTATTAACAAAAACATTTAGTTGTGTAACGAATTTTATTTTTGATAATGAAACTTTTGTAATATATTCTTACAACATACTACTTATATAATTAGGGGGCCTCTTTTTGTATTTTGCCCCGGGCCTATAAATTGTCAGGACCGGCTCTGAATTGAACATAAATTATCATTACAAAGTGCTCACTGTATTCACTATACTCCAGAGGTCGCGTTATTAAAAATATCTTTTATTTTAATAATAAATACGGAATATGTAATAAATACGGAGTATAAAATACTAAATGTAATACAGAGTACATAGTATTAAAAATATGACATGAATAGTACGAATTTTCACTTTAGGTCATACTCTTATACTCCGTACTAATTTGTTTCTTTGTATTTACTTTAGTACGGAGTATAATAATACTCATAAAAGAGTTCCTTTGTTTTAGATAACTCCCATAAAGTTTACTCTGTATTATTTAGGGAATAATAATATAAATAGATATAACTTCGATAGGGATGCATATGTAATATATATATCCCGAACTTTATCTAAAAAGTTATTTTCACACTATAACTGTGTTTCTTTTACAAAAAATACAAATTTATTTGAATAATCACATAGTTTAAAATTACACGTCTACAATGGTTTGGTCATGTGCATAGAAGACCGAGTGATGCACCTGTTAGACGAGTTGAAATGTGTGGAGAAGAGGCAAAGAAGAGAAGGAGAGGAAGGCCCAAATAGACGTGGGTTAGGCGAGTCCGAAGTGATATGCTTCTTTTTGGGTTAGATGAGAGTATGACTTTGGAGAGAGCAAAGTGGAGGACGGGTATTCGTGTGGAGAAGTGATCTCGTATTATCTTTTCCCCTTATTTTTTTTCTTGCTTTTTTAATCCTTTTATCCTTATATATATAAATATTATTTTTATCCTTTTTATTTTATCATTTTTTAAGGTATATTCATCTCTTTTTATATTATCTTTTTTATCTTTATTTTCTTTCTTTTCCTTTTGGTGGTGATATCATGTCTCGATTCATGTTAGCCGACCCCAATATCTTTTGGGACTAGGGCTTGAATATTGTTGTTGTTGTTGTAATTACATAATTTAAAATACTCTAAGCTTTGTTAGGATACATTTAGCATGCTAAAATTTCATTTATGCAGTACTTCCCCCGTCCCGAAAATAACTTCCGACTTCCTTATTTGGCAAATAATTTAAAAAAAAACAGTGTCGGAAAGTGCAAAACATTGTCAAAACAGTGTGAAAACAGTAAACTTTATCACCTAATAAAATTATTTTCTTAATATGTGTGAAATCCAAGTGAGAAGTTAATTTCGGGACGGATGGAGTAAATAATATTACATCTGGTATAATTTATTCTTAATTTCATCCTCATAAATGTTCTTGTATTTTATACATAGTTTTATGCATTTAACACCATAAAATTGCATTTACGAAAAAAACATATGAGTATAGTATCAACATAACTTTTATATAAAGTTTGGAATGATAATAATACATGTGCATATTTGAATGTTTATATAACATCTACTAGTAGTTATTAAGAGCCCGCTTGGTAGCACGAAAATCGGCTGATTTGGTTAATTCTGTTGAAATTTATGAAGTTCTGGCTGAATTGGCTCTATTGACTTATTCTGCTGATTTAAGAAAAAATTACTATCAAAATATATTTTATTAATAAAATAAGGAAAAAATTATATATAAAATTAGCTAAAAATGGTCATCTACAATAACTTGAGCCAATAAATCCAGAAAAGTAACTCAAACCTTACTTTTTCTTTTTATTACACAATTCAACATGCGAAAACAAAAATTACATGTTTAGTGAAAAAATTGGTTGATAAGTCTGATAAAACAAAAAACAACATTGTTGTATGATCCGTAAAAGCATCTCCAATGCCAGAATGTTAACCCTACCTACATGCAAGAAAATAACCAATTAAAAAACTAATTAGCCTATCTAGTATCTAGCCGTATAGGCGAGACGTGTCTCGCGCGTTTCCTTGTATTCTTTCTGCGTTGTTTAGAGCACTGATAATGGCGATTAGGGAAGTGGAGTGGTAAGCAACAGAGCAAGCTGGGCGGCTGGGCGCCCTTGAAGTCGAATCTGCTACACTTAATCCTGACAATGGTGTTGCTTTCGCCAACCACTACGAGAACCGGATTATTCCAACTCTCCTCTTCTTCAGTCCCATCACTAAATAACAAGAAAAGGAACAATTCCATCATAGCTCGAACCACTCCTTCCAGAACCAAGGCAAGTTTTTGCTTTCCTTTCCGCTGTTAGTTTTTTTTATCCCTTGGAAAATGGAGTACTCTGTGGATTTGTATTGCTGTAGTATTAATCTGCATTCTTTTTGCTTCCACGTACTATGTGTAGAAGTTGTATTATCTATTGATCAATTGTATTATTGGCAACCAGAGTGCGTAAGAGCTTATATATGACACGAGATGACTAGAAAATATTATAACAATAAACAATATATGGATGGTGATAAAGGTTTAATCTTGATCTGTAGAGGATAATGGAAAGTATATCTGTGAGTGGAGAGGTGGGAGGAGCTGGTGGCGCATACACTTACACTGCTTTAAAAAGATTGGACCAGCTGTGGTCTAACATTTGCTCTGATGCAAATGGTTAGTTCTGTAATTGATATGGATATTGACATCTGTTTTCCTTTTAGTGTTCGTGGATTGTGGAATATATCTGAATTTCTTGATTGCAGTGGTCACCGGATTACCAACACAAGTAGTTACGAAAATGTCTGGATCCTATAAGGATTATGAATTTGGTGGACGATCTCAAGAAGTATTTGATGTTGTAGTTTGTGGAGGTACTCTTGGTATCTTTCTTGCCACTGCCTTGTGTTCCAAAGGTCATCGTGTTGGAATTGTGGAAAAGAATGTTTTGAAGGGGGTATTGTATTCTTCATTTTATGGGATTTGTTGTTTACTTGTGTATTGAAAAACTATTCATCTCCATGTATAAGAGCGTTTGGTTTGTGGGTAATTGATGATCAGCGAGAACAGGAGTGGAATATTTCAAGGAAAGAACTTCTGGAACTATTAGAAGTTGGTATTTTGACAGAAGATGAGCTAGAAAGGACCATCTCTTCCAGTTTCAATCCTGTAGGTTTATTGTTAAGAGCTCCATGCGATAGTGTTGGCAATAATGGTGTAGCCAGGACTCCATTTTTTTAGCTTAGGGTGGGCAGGAAAAAATTCAATTATTTAAATTTGTACACAAAAAAATAAGAAAAAGTGTTTTACCAAATTTGTGGCGGCCCCGGATTGCCCCGCCCCACCTTCGCATATTACTGGTAACATTGTCAAATATCAAGTGCATTTACCTTTCTGTCAGTCTAGAACTTGGGATTCTAATAACTGTGCTACAATACTATATTACTTTTGATTTTATTTTATTTTATTTTATTTTATTTTATTTTATTTTATTTTATTTTATTCTAACACTATGCAGAACAGATGTGGATTTGAAGGAAGGGGTGACATTTGGGTCGAGAACATTCTCAACCTTGGTGTTTTGTAAGTCAGGATCTGTGTTGGTATCCCAGGAAGTCACAATCACAGCATGTTATTTCATATGTAGTACATATTAACTGGGAATTGAATTTGGAAAAAGTAGTCATTTATGTTTAATTATCTTATAAAGAAACTTTGCAATCTTTTATTATTCTCTATATTGGTAATCTTAGGTTCTTCAACTTACTACTCCGTATTTTATATTCTTTTATTATTCTAGTCTTACAGATAAGCTTTGAAATCTCAGGCCCTCAAAGCTTGTTCAGATCATGAAAGATCGCTTTGATTCGTTTGGAGGCGTCACCTTTGAGGGTCACAATGTATCCACTGTAAACGTGTACAAGGATGGAGTGGTAAGACCAAACTACTCGGAAAGTCAGAAGTCAATGGAGGCTATTTTTATTCAAAATGTCAAATGTTAATCTTTTACCAACATCATACAAGATTTGGTTGTTTGATGTTGTAGGCATATGAGACCCTGAGAGTGTGCTCACTATTAAAAGACTTATAATTTTGTAATCTAAAATGATTAAAACTGAATTTACTACTAATATGAAATAACAACATGAGTTACAGAAAATACAACTTACCCAATAGTCTAGACTCAAATTTTTTATGCAATCTTGATTCTCTTAAAACTCATTAATCCTTTCTATCATAGGTTTTGTGTTTAGATGAGGAAAAGGTTTTGTCATCACGACTCATTATTGATGCAATGGGGAACTTTTCTCCTATAGTAAAACATGTGAGATTTATTGCTTTTAGCTTTTCTCTCAAAATGTTATGTTATGTGTATGTTATACCTCCAAGTTGGGCAATTTTCCGCCCATCAACCATGTTAATATACATAGGGTATATATATCAGCATATCTAGTATGATTTGCATGGTCCAAGATGTACAATGGGCAATGTTAAACAGCTAGAATCTATCCACTATTTTAAAGCTGGAAATGTCATTTCTTTAAATGCAGAAGGCATTAAATATCACTTTTTTCCCATTAATAACTTTCATTGAAACTCGGGCACTTGTAGTAACCTGCTATTTACAGTTTTCATTTATTTATTTTAACTACTTTTTAACTCCAATGTCATATGTCAATCCATGTTAGCCGACCCCAAACTCTTTTGGGATGTTGTTGTATTGGTTTATGTATGTTTCCGTTATTTCTTAATTTCTGTCTTCCTGAAGTTTGTACATGGGTTGCATAGTGTGTGTGATTGGGCTGTAAACAGCTTTGATGTTTAAGCATTACACTAGGTTAGATGTGGAAGCAAACCCGATGGTGTTTGCCTGGTGGTTGGTTCTTGTGCTCGTGGATTTAAAGACAACTCTACAAGTGATGTTATTTTCAGTAGTTCATCTGTCAAGGAAATCGGAGAGTCAAAAGTACATTATTTTTGGGAGGTAGGTGAAAGAAACAATTCAGGCTTCGCCTTCTATTGCACTTATTTATTGATAATTTTCCTTGCTTGGTTGCCGTCATGCTTTCTTCTGATCATTAACAGGCATTTCCAGCTGGTTCAGGTTCCACAGATCGGACTACTTATATGTTCACGTATGTTGACCCTCAACCTGGATGTCCAAAACTGGAAGAGTTACTTGAGGACTATTGGGACTTGATGCCTAGCTATCAGGTCATATACTCATATTGAAGGCCATTCATCGTTGTAAAATATCTTTAGAATCTCATCTTCTAAAATATTGAATGGGTTGCTTTATATTGCTAATCATGTTTGCGTACCATATCCATGATTTTTGAAAATTTCCAATTCATTGCCTTTTCATTTGGAACAGCAGATCCTTTTATTTGAAAGAAATACACTCTTAGGAGCTGATCCCATTGCCAGAAAATTGTGATTTTATCTGATCTAAAATTTTAAAACTCTGGTCTGAAACTGGTAGGTCTGTGCGCCCTCTGAATCATTTAGGTATTGTCTGCGCTGGTCTGGCATACAATTTTTTTTGAATCTTGTCCAGCTTCTACTCTGGAATACAAAACGTGGTCTGGTTTGTATGTTTTGTGTGCTAATTGAATTAAGAATAAGTAATAAGCAAGAATAAGGAGAAGACAATAGTATCTGAACATAGAACATCAATCATATTCAATTTTATAGTTAAAGACTTAAGTACACTTCTCCAGTGATTTAAATAATGAGTGAAGTTTCAAGCAGTTGCTTCCTTCAGGCTGTTTTCAACCTTTGATGTGTGTGTGTTTTTAAAGCTTTATATAGGGAGTTTCTTTTGACAGTCTGGAGATCTTAAGAGTTGTGTTTGGCATATTCCCAACATATCGTGACAGGTAAAGGCCTGACTTTTATGTGATCTTAACATTTTCCTCTATAGCATTATGTGAGCCTATCCTATTTTTTTCCTTAAAATATATAGGTTACTTAATATGCTACGCGACATGCTTTTATGTTTTCGTGTAGAAATGAAATATTCTGAGAGGGTAAATCATTTAAGCTATCTCTGATATTATACAAGAGTTTGCGTATTCATATTGTCAGGTTTCTAATAAAAAGGCTTTTCTCCCATTAAAAGTTTAAAACATTTGTCCTATTTTTTGGCAGTCCACTACCAGCAGCCTTTGATCGTGTTCTGCAGGTATTATTACCTCACTGTGCTCTTCTAATCATATGAAGCAAAAATATATTATGGTCATATATCAAATGAAATAACCTGAGTTGAACTGTTCACAGTTTGGAGATGCGAGTGGTATACAGTCGCCTGTTTCTTTTGGTGGTTTTGGCAGTTTGTCTCGACACCTTAGTAGATTAACCAACGGTACAACATTTATTCGTGCATTTCGGATGACCATAGTTTGAAACTTTGAATAGTAAAAATAATCTACTTTTTCATATCGAGAAACAAGGCATAACTGAAGCACTTGAAGGGAACTTCCTCGATTGTAGGAGCTTGTCACTGTTGAATCCATACATGGTTAGTTCTTGTAGTACATAGTGTTGGGACCACATACCTTGTCTTAAATCCATATTCTCGTATATTATCTGCTTTGAGCCAAGTGCACACTAGGGGTGCAAACAAGCCGAGCCTGAACATGGGTATGTTTGAGTTTGAGTTTGATAAGAATTCACGAGCTTGAGCTCGAGCTCGAGCTCGACATGGGTCAAGTGTTGCTAATTAATTTTTATAGGTTTAGCTCGAATAAGATGCTCGAACTTGAGCTCAAATTCGAAGTAAAACTAACATTTCTATTTTCTAAATTATTGATATTACATTTATACATACAAAAATAATAATAATATAATGTTTGTACTTTGTACTTCATTGTTCTCATTCTTTAGTTCCCCTCTCCTTCACTTACATTTCTATGCCTTATTCTACGATCAATAAATATTACAAATTATAATTATAACAGACTATGAGTATAATAATAGTAATAATTAATATTATTATATTTATAATTATTACTATTATAATATACTCCCTCCATCCCGGGGAGAAGTTCCCATTTCCTTAAATGGAAAGTTATTCTACATCAAAACAGTGTCAAACAGTGCAAAACAGTGCCAAACAGTGTCGAAACAGTGCCAAACAGTGTTGAAACAGTTCCAAACAGTGTCGAAACAGTGTCAAACAGTAAAATTTACCCCTCAGTAACTTTATTTCCTAAATATGTGTGAAAGTCAACCCGGGAACTTCTTCCTGGGACGGAGGGAGTACATTGTAATAAGTATTGAAAATGGAATAGTCCTAAATTAGAATACATATTTCAAATATATCATATATATAAAACCCCGTATAATTAAATAAATATGTATATATACACACACAAAGGCTCGCAAATCGGCTCGCGAGCCACAAGCCTAAAATAAATAGGCTTGAATTGTGCTTGTTAAATATTTGAGTTGAGCTTAAATATGACCAAACTCAAGTTGAGTTTTTCATGAGTGATCCACGAGCAGTTCGCGAACGGCTTGGCTCTTTGACACCCCTAGTGCACACTGATAAAGGGATTGTTTTTGGATCCCTTCCAAAAAGTCTTATACTAACAGAGTTAAGAAGAATATTTATAATGATCATCTTCCCTTAATCTTCTAATGTGAGAGTTGCGCTGGCATCCCAACACATAGAACGGTAGTGTTGGTTCTACGGCTGTCATTTTGATGTAATTATTGTTGTTTTTGCAGCCCAACTTAAGTGCATCATGGTTATTTCAAAGGGCAATGTCAGCTAAGAAACACTCTGATGTTCCTCCAGAATTCATTAACGATCTTCTCTTATCCAATTTCAAAAGCATGCAGGTATGCCAATTAAATTTTCTCAGGACTGGTTCGTAATTGCTTGTAAGGCCATCCTTCCACCACTCTTAAACATGTTATGTGAATGGCCAGCAACTAGGGGATCCTGTGTTGAGGCCGTTTCTTCAGGTCACTCATCTTTTATCCCCTTTTTAGTATTCTGTTTCTACAAATGTATATTTTTAAGACGCAAAATGGGCATGGTAAAGAGACATTCTTATGTGACACACATGACACATCCATTGGATTGATCATAGCATAACTTACTATTCATTGCCTAAGTAGCATGGGAACGTGAAATATAAAAAGTAGAATGGTATATTTATATTTACTTATCGAAAAATATAGGGATACATCTAAAAATATTCCTTTCTAACATACAGAGTATATATACATATTTTTTTCGTATCGATAAAAATAGACTGCATGATCAAGCATAGACATTATTTCATATTACCACATAAATATATTAATAGAAATGTTGTGATGAAATCCCATAAAACCCCACTAAAAATTTCCAAATATCCCATAAAAATTTTGAAAACTCAAAGTTTATGAAATGGTAATAAATTAGGGAAATTGGGTTTCTTGATTGTTCTTAATTGCGGACGGCCCGGAAACAGGAATTTGAAGCTTCCGAGTTTCTAACATGCTTCCAAGTTTTTGAAATGGTGAAACTTCAGCCTTTAGGAAGCTCCCATAAGAATGTCCAAGAAATGCATGACACATAAGAATGTCACTAAGTAATATTTCATCCATGCCTCCCTAGAATTATTGCTTCTAGAATGACTAGAGAACCTTTTTTCACTAACAACCTAATTTTTGTATGTGTTTATGTTTATTTGTGCTGATGCAGGATGTCATACAGTTTGGGCCGCTTGTCAAGACACTCGGCCTAGTAATGTTTACTAACCCAAAAATTCTTCCGTCAATATTCAAGCAGGTATTTTGTTGTACTCTATTTTATTTTTCTGGGAAACATGCCTCAAATATGTAAGGAAAGGCTGTGTAAAGTGACCCTCCCCATACCCCTAGCAAAGTGTGACCCATGGTATAGAAGATCAACCATGAAAGCTTCTCAAGAACCGGAGTACCTAAACTGGTTGATTTAAAGGTGGCAACCAAAAATGGGAAAACTCTATAGTTGAAGGACTAAAAGTGGAACTTTATGTTTATCTTATTTTGTTTTTCTCATACTGCATCTCATGCTTCGTTTTTTACAAGTGGGATCCTGTGTGACAAATTGATGCAACATCTTGAATGGCATTCACAAGAGATCGTCATATGTCAGATTTAATATCTATCAACTGCATTTATTACAAAAAACCATTTAGATTTGTCACATTGTGGCTTAGTACTTTAATGTGAGTATCAAGCGAGATGTTTTATCATTCTGCTATAGAGGGTCTCATTTTCATTTTTCATCACGCGGTCTCCCCAATTCTATGATTGGCAGACTTGTTTTAACTTCTTTATCATTATGCTCTCGCTTTATGAAGCTTGAAAATATACAAACAGGCCTTTACAAGATGCTAGCTATTGAATACTCATCACGATTTGATTTGCAGGTTGGAATTCCAGTGCTTCTTGATTGGTCTGGGCACTTCTTCATGTTGGGATGCTATACATTTCTGTCTATCTACCTTGAACCTGCAATAAGGTAAAAGAATTACACGTGATTATAATTGCTCACTACTTGTCTGCTGTTATAAGTGTGAGGTTAACGTCACACTTTGACGATCTTTTATTGAAATGCTTTCCCACACGATAGTTTGAGGCAGACCATTTTTGGGGTCTGTTTGGATCTGTTTGTCTAGGCCTGGCTCAGGTTGAGTGGATGTTTGTTAAGTATCTTACTCTTACATTGTTTATATAAATGTGAGGTCAACCTCACCTGTTGAAACTTCTTAGACCAAATGTAGCGGTTATCAATAGAGGTGGGTGTGTAGTGCAAATACTTCACTTCTGTTTACCAACCAAATTAGGGATATATTCACACTGATTATCAATGCCGTACTAAGATTCGATATACCATCAAACCAAAGCTTTGGTATGGTAGTTTTTGGTATTAGTGCACATAAGACCTTAATTGTTTTAGATTAGAAACATGAAGCCTTCAATACATAATACATCAATTTTGAATCTGATAAGGGCTAAATTATTGCTACCTCCATTCTTGAATAGTTGCATTTGATTTTTTGCACTATTTACACATCCTACTTTGACTATTTATTTAATAATGTATTAAAAGCTATTTTGAAAATATTGTTAAACTTGTGTCAATGTAAAATTTTAAAATATGATTTATAAATATGAGTTATTTTTCCATCATTTTTCAATGGAGCCAAAAACTCACTATTTTTTGGCTTGGAAATATGATGGAATAAAGCAAATGACTCACTATGCAATTTGTTATGAATAACAGTCAGTCTATGCAATTTTCACTATGGGTCATTTAGAAACAGTCTTTTTGTGCTTTAGTACAGGAATAAGACTGCGTACATCCGACCCCCTCTTACCCCACCGTAGGTGGAGCCTTTGCTAATTTGGGGTATGATGATGATGATGATGTTATAAATAGACAATTATTAATATTTATGGTCCAAGTCGTGCATTCGCAAATATGAAAGTCAAACCAACTACATAAAGAACAGAAGAAGTACTATGTATTACTTGAAGTAAATGAACAAATGGGCTAATTATGAATGTTATTACTTTTTTTTTGGCAAAATGAATGTTATTACTTATTAGTTATAAAATAAAATACCATATATATATTTACACACACACACATACACACAAATATCAGTGCACATGTTTCGGTACCAGCGTGATATAATATGGTACTGAATTTCAATACCGTCTACCATACCAAATTTTATTGGTATGTGCAAGTATGGAAATATGGAATGATGGTCTACCAATACTAGTGGCAGTCTACCAATAAGTAATGGTACAGTTGATATTGGATAGTTATGAAAAAGTCCATCCTAGTTTTGGACATTCCCATGAACTCGTGGTTGTTTTTCCAGGCCCTTGATAAACACATTCCCGGCCAAGATGAGATATGAGTGGAAGCGTAGGCTCGAGGCCTGGAAATATGGAGCTGGTTTAGATTACAAACAATGACACAGATCAAATGAGGAGTATCTACCTGACACTTTCATAAATACCAGATTACCACTTTGTATACATAAGATTCTGACTCATCATTCTCACTTGAGAACAGACTTTCTTTTATTGGAGGCCTGAATTTTATGCAGTAATACACAACATGAACGGGGAGTTAACTATATAAACTTAAGCCTGAGTTTGATAATGTTTTGCTTGTGGACTGAAGTTAGTTTCTTTTCGTTTTAGGGACCGATTCTATTTTTGTACTATTAACTAACCTCCTTTGCGATGAAGATTGTCCCAAACGAGAATTTGTAAGGCACTTTTTCTTTCAAATTTCAGTTTGCACCATATTTATAAACAAATTTAGGCCACTCCACTCTCCCAGAGTCCCAGTATCGCTTTATGTTTTGTGTGTTCTGTCCAGTCAAACAAAAAAAAAATGAAAACAAAAAAAAATGTTCCAGCTTTTTATTGCTGAAAAGGGATAATTACCTTAAGAGCCCGTTTGGTAGTATTGAAATTGACTGTATTGGTGTGTTCTATTGAAATTCATGAAGTTCTGGTTGAAATGATTGGATGGACTAATTCTGTTGATTTATGAAAAAATTATATTTAAAATATATTTTATCAAATAGCTAAAATGATCCTCTGCAGTAATTTTAGTCAATACAGTCAGAAAAGTAATTTGAACTTGACATTTTCTTGTTATTACACAATTCGACGTGCGGCATAAAAAATTACGTGTTTTTTTTGGATACATCGGAAAAGAAAGAAACAAAAAGAGTTAAAATCTGATAGTTTCTAATCCATTCTCGTCTTCCCAAAGTAGACGTTTAATCCAACTAGGAGCCTCTTGTAAATTGTAATATAGTCAACCCTTTACCGCTTTACGTGTTTGTTAAAAAATAAAAAACACAATTATTCAAATAAAGTGTCCAATCACTTCGATTTTGTCCATTTTTAGGTCGGACGGATTAGTTTTGATAAGCTCAATCATTGTAAATCTCAAACTATCAACACAGCCACGTATAAGGGCTATAACTTCGTTCATTTTTGTTGGTTGCGATTCTGATTGGTTCAAATTCATCAGTTAGGTTTAGCTTCACTCGGCTAGTGGCTACTCACTATCTGTGGCATGTGGGTTTGTATCTTTTTTATTTTCCTGTTCAGTCCCTTGACTACTGGTTAATAGGGATGGACCAGGCCTGGTACCTGGCCCAGACCACTACTGTGCGGTACCGGCCTGACCCGGCCGGCCGGATGGGGCCCGACCCGGGGGTGTTTTGGGGTAGGCCGTAGGCTACGGGCTGGGGATTTGATGGACCGGCCCGGCCGGTTTGGGACCAGTCTATGCCCTTTTTGTTTTTTGATTTTTTCGAATGGGTTGGGCTTGGCGGGTGGGGCTGGGTGGTTTGGGATGGTTTGGGGGGTAGGAATAAATAAGAAAAATCGATTTTTTTTTTAAAAAGAAGACTCGACTTGGCCCGAGCTTGGTCCCAATCCCGGAACCAACCCGGGCCGGTACCGGGCCTTCATTGCCCAAACCCAGTCCCGCCAAAATCCCAACCCGACCTGGGCCTGATCTGGTCCCTGTCCATCCCTACTGGCTACTGGTTGTACTTCGATTTAATTGGGTGGAAACACCTTGCATTATTAGAGCATCCACAATGCATTAGTGTCTAGTCTAAATGAAGTGTGCCATATCATCAAATTTGACTTGAAGTAATAATCTTTACCTCCTCTCTTAGTCCATGGCTGATTTGGCAAAAAAATATTAGACGGTGTGCAGGGGTTATGTGTAGAAAGACCTAAGGATTTGCTGACTCACACAAATAAAGCTTCTCTTTCGGCAAAAACTGTTGGAGGAAGCTACACACTACTCACATACACCACACTAGGAGGAAGCTACAACACAACCCTATTGTTTTACTCCCACTTTGGTACCTTTACCTTGGTATTTTATCTGATCAATAATATACCTGTTTGAGGGTTGACTTACCCCCTTGACTGGCCCCTCTGTGTTCTGTCCGCTGCATCACTTTGTCTTGGCCTATACATGTGACTCTCCTTTGTATTGGTAGCATGTGATTGTCTTTTGTCTAGCATCACCCGTGAATCCCCCTTGGCAGCCTATTTGAAGTCCTTGCTTCTTCCCTTATTGAAGCAGCCTGCGTGAGTGATCTATTGAGAGCAGTGCTCCCTTCTTCTTCTTTCCTTTGTGTGAGAGCTGAGAGAGGCCCTAAGTGGAGAGTCAAAATAGAGTTGTGTTGTAGCTTCCTCCTAGTGTGGTGTATGTGAGTAGTGTGTAGAAAGACCTGAGCCGGAGACGGAAAAGATCCTTACAGTGGTATCAGAGCCTGGTTCGCTGTCTGCCGCCGTCCGCCGCCGCCGTCCGCCGCCGCCATCGTTTGGAGCTCGCCGATGGTCGCTGGAACTGCTTGGTCGTCCGCACGAGCTCGCTGAGGTCCCTGCTTGCTGAAATCGAGCTCGCCGGAGGTTAAAGCTCCATCATCGCCGCCTGGAACCTCCGCCGTCGCTTGACTGACGGTGGTCGCTCGCTGCTGGGAACGAAGCTCGCCGTCGCCGAAGATAGATCCGCCTGGGAGGTCCGCCGTCGAAATTGACTGTGTGCTCGCCGGAATCTGGAGCCCCGCCATCGCCGCCGGGAAGCTTCGCCGTCCGCCATCTGTTGTCCGGGAAGCTTCGCCGTCCATCACTGGAGCCGAGCCTGGCAGCTCGCCCGATTTCCTTCATCACCGGAGAAGAACACCGCCGCAAGAGGTTGGTCGCCGAGGACATCCGCTGAAGCCTCCATCGCTGGTGTCTGCCCGGCTTCGTTCTTCGCTGGTCTGCAAGTAGCAGGGAGCTGGCCACTTTTGCGTAGAAGGAACGCAGAAGACCGTGGCTGACTTGGACAGCTGCTGTGATTTTTTTTTTTGGGCTTCTGGAATGGACCGGTTTGCTGGGATGTTCTAGGTGGGCTTTAGTTTGCTGCTGGGCTGAGCTGGGAGCTGAGATTAGCTTGGACCGGGCTGGAGCAAGTTTGCTGACCTGGACTGCTGAGGAGCTAGACCACCAGTCAACCGCCAGTCAACGCCGGTCAACGATGGTCAACGCCGGTCAACGGAAGTCAACACCTCCAGAAAAATCCCAATTTTTTTTATTGGGTAGGTAAGGTCGGAACGCTCTCCTAGGGTTTCGCGAAGGTAAGTTTTCTGTAAACTTCCTATTTGTTATTTTCCGGTTTAAATTTAATTTAATTTTATTCCCCCTCCCCGCGGGCCGCCGGTTGATTTAATCCCGGCCGCCAACCCCCAGGTACGTTTTCTAAACTCACTCCTTTGTGGTAGTTTGTTTTTGTTGATTAATTAAATTACTAAGTGTTATTTAATTTAATTGTTATGCGTAGGGGTGGTTTATTGGGTGGTAGGGGTAGAATTAATTAATTTTAATTTTCTGCCCGGAATTGTTTAATTGCCAAAATGTCCATATTTTGCTATGTGTTGCATGCTGCCCGGAGTTATTAAAGTAAATACTTTATAACCCGGGTTGGATTATTTTCTGTCAATTCTGTCTGTTTAGCTTTGTGTTCCGTTGTGGTTGATACCATGGCTGCGAATCAGTATGGTATGCTTCCATTTAATGGAAAAACAGATTTTGATATTTGGAAACAGAAAATAAAATGTGTTTTAATACAGCAAAAAGTTTTCAGAGCTATCACTGGTATTTTCCTTGAATCAGAAGATAAGGCTAAGCAAACTGAAATGAACGAAACTGCTTGTTCTACTATTTACTTGAATCTGTCTGATTCTGTGCTTAGGAAAGTGGGTATTCTTGAGTCCGCTAAGGAGTTGTGGGAGAAATTGGATAGTCTCTATACTGATACCTCTTTACCAGGGAAGTTGTTCTTACTAGAGAAATTCTTTAGGTTTAGGCTTGACCTGACTAAGGATATAGATGAGAACCTGGATGTGTTTAATAAACTGATACAGAATATCAAACAGGCAGGTGATAAACACATAGATGATTATACTCCCATAGTGTTACTTAATGCCATTCCCGACTCTTATAATGATGTTAAGTCCACTATTAAGTATGGTAGGGATGAGATTTCGTTAGATATTGTTGTGAATGGGTTAAGGAGTAAGGAATTAGATCTGAAGCATGCTAGGGGTAGTGCTAGTCAGTCCAGGGACTTCGGTGAGGCTATGTTTGTTAGAGGTAGATCTAAGGGTAGGTCTAAGAACTCTAAGCAAAATAGTCAGGGTAAGAACACTAGTCAGCCTGGGAGGAAGAGGAGTAAATCTAGGAAGAGAGTGTGTTACAATTGTGGTAACGCTGGCCATTTCATTAAGGATTGCCCCCACCTTAAGAAGACCGAGCATGCTAGTGTAGCTGTTGATAAATGTGACCTTGGTGATATCTTGATGGTTTGTGACCATGTTAATTCTATGAGAAATTCCCTGTCTGAGCATGAATGGTTGATTGACTCTGGTTGTACCTATCACATGTCCCCCTTTAGAGATTTGTTTTCTACTTATGAATTATGTGATAGTGGCTATGTTTCCTTAGCTGATAATAAGAGATGCAATGTGCTTGGTGTTGGTGATATATGTCTGAAGTTTTCTTGTGGCTCTGTGTTTACCATTAAGAATGTGGGGCATGTCCCTGATTTGTGTCATAACTTGTTATCTGTTGCTGCTTTGGAGAGTAGTGGGTTACAGGGAAAATGGGGGAATGGTTGTATGAAAATCCTGAAAAACTCGCTTGTTTTGTTTAAAGCTGAGAAGGTGAATAACCTCTATGTGTGTCATGCTAAACCTTTTGCTGAATCTGTGAATGTTGTATGTTCTGATAAGACCTCTTTGTGGCATAATAGGCTAGGACATATGAGCAATAAGGGTTTAGATGTCATGCGTAGGGCTAGTTATTTTGGTAGGGACTCTGTGACTTCTGTGCCTTTCTGTGAATCATGTGTGTTAGGCAAGCAGCATAGAGTCAGCTTCCCTCCTTCCTCTTACCCTAATCTGTCTAAGTGTTCGTCTGTGCTTGAATATGTTCATGCCGATGTTTGGGGTCCTGCCAGTGTTCCTACCCACGGGGGTAGGAAATATTTCCTTTCTATTATTGATGACTTTTCTAGGAAGGTGTGGGTTTGCCTTTTAGAACACAAGTCTGATGTGTTTGTGAGGTTTAGGGAGTGGAAAACCCTAGTTGAAAACCAAACTGGCAGGAAGGCTAAAACCCTTAGGACTGATAACGGGTTAGAGTTCTGTAATAAGGAGATGGATAAGCTATGTGTGGATTGTGGGATAAAAAGGCACAAAACCGTGCCTTATACTCCGCAACAGAATGGGATAGCAGAG